CAACCCATTGGTGAGAGAGATCAGGCAACAACTTAGTTTTTTATATTTTTAATGTTAGTTGCATGAGGCTCAACACATTTCTCTTTGAAATAATAAATGGATTTCCATTCCCAGATCATCTCCGAGTAAGGCTGTTAGTATTGTTGCTTTTGTTCAGTGCCTTCTAGTCAGTTCCAATTCATAGCAACCCCAGGAACAACAGAACAAAATGCTGCCTGGTCCTGCTGCATCCTCAGAATTGTTCTTCTGTGTTAGCCCATTGTTGCAGCTACTGTGTCAATCCATCTTGCTGAGAGCCTTCCCCTTTTTCATTGCCTCTCTATTTTACCAAGCATGATGTCCTTCTCCAGGGACTGATCTCTCCTGACAACATGTGCAAAGTAGGAGAGATGACATCTCCCCAACCTTGCTTCTAAGGGACATTTTGACTGTACTTCTTCAAAGTCAGATTTGTTTGTTCTTTTGGAAGCCCATGGTACTCTCAGTATTTTTCGCCAGCACCATGATTTAAATAGAGTCATTCTTCTTCAGTCCTCGTTATTCATGTCCAACGTTCAAATGTGTATGAGGTGATTGAAAATACTATGGCTTGAGTCAGGTGTGCCTTAGTCCTTAATGGATCATCCTTGCTTCCTACACTTTAAAGAGGTCTTCTGCAACAGATGTACCCACTCCAATGTGTCCTTTGATCTCTTGGGTGCTCCTTCCAGAAGCACGGATTATGGATCCAACCATGAAGAAATCCTTGACAACGTGAATATTTTCTCCATTTATCATGATTTTACCTATTGATCCAGTTGTGAGGATTGTGGTTTTCTTTACATTGAATTGTCATACATCCTGAAGGCTGTAATCCTTGATCTTCATGAACCAGTGCTTCAAGTCCTCCACACTTTCAGCAAGTCCACTTAACCCACAATGTAGCAGACTATGGTTACAGGCCTAATGACAACATATATATTAGTCGCGTTATTATATTGCTGACCGACCCTCCCTCCTAGACAGAGAAGCGAAGACTTCACCATATCTTCTCATGGGGAAATATTTCAAGTGAAAGACCAAAACCCAAAACTCATTGCCACCAAGTCGATTCCCACTCACAGTGACCCTATGGGACAGGGCAGAACCCCCACTGTGGGTGTTCCCAGACTTTAACTCTTTACAGGAGTAGAAAACCCATCTTCCTCCCACAGAGCTGCTGGTGGTTTCTAACTGCTGACCTTGCCGTTAGCAGGCCAGTGTGTATCCACAAGTGAAAGTACATGGACTATTCTTTTCTCCAGTCCCTACTCAGGTCTCTTCTGAAGAGACTTGATTCACTCTAAAGTGATTTTTTTTTAATGTGGGGCTCTCTGTTTTTTTAGCAATAAAAATTACTGCTAATTGGAGAGATGTTTCAGTAATTATTATGATGGAAAAATCATTTATATATTTCATGGAAAGTTAATTCTATTTTAATGGAGAAGAAATATGAAAGCTGCTTCCATCTTTTTGGTTTCTCTTTGACCCTACCTATTAAATGATGATTATGGGTTAAAAACAACAACTACTAAAAATTTCCAGAATATTAAAGTGTATTGCTTGAAAGCAAGTAAGATTCTAGAACAGAAAGATCAATAAAGTAACTCATTAAAATTATCATCAGCTAGTCCTTTACTTTTTAATGTGTCTGTCTGGAGCTGTCACATTCTGAGCTGTAAGGCTTTTGTTTTGCTTGATCAGGAAATGAATGTGACTGTATGAGCTGTAGGCAACCATGAACAGCTGCTCATTAACAAAAAGCTGTTAAAGTGCACGCCAGAGCAGCAGGTCTAAAACTGTGCTTGAAGGAAAGCCAGGTAAAAAGCCAGAGAATAGGGATGGGGGACCTAGAAGCCCTGTGCTGTGTGTGCAAAGTCTGTCCTACCCCTTGGGTAAGGATGTGGGCCAGAGGGTTGGTTCAGACTGTATTCAGACCCAACTGGAGGATCCAGGACAACAAAGCCTATACAAACCATTAGAATAAATACGTAGTGTTGGGAACGGATGCTGTTCCTAAATCAGGCTGGAGGTGGGGGGAAAGAAGCCCAGCAGCCTTAAAGTGGAATGATCTGGAAATAGAGGAGGCCAATCCGGAAAGACAGCTCTCATATACCAAGCTTCTCCATGATGTCCCAGCCCTTGACATTTGGTACCTCCCACTCTCTAGCCCACACACAGGGCAGAGGACAGGAATTAAAAATACCACTAATGCCTTAAATTTTTGCCACACAGTCACTGATTAAGGAATGCTGGTGGCATAGTGGGTAATGACTTGTGCTGCTAACGGTAAGATCTGCAGTTTGAAACCACCAGAGGCTCCATGGGAGAAGGAAGAGGCAAACACACAGCTTGGGGAGCCCTCGGGGGCAGTTCTACTCTGTCCTATACAGATCCCCTCTATGGGCCAGAATCGCTGGATGGCAGTAACGGTTTGACAATCGTGATTATAGTTACTACTCAATAATTAGTATAAAGATGATTTAGTAATACCCTTGTAGATACTTTTAAAGTAGAACTTAAGTATGCCATATTTGACAGGCTTTGCTGTTTTTGTTTGTTGTGCTAAGGTGTTGAGATACATTCACTAGTTATTTTGTTTTGAAATGACACATCTAAGAAATAAGCCTGAGGAATAATGTAAAAGATGAAGTTACATTATATAGGCACATCATAAATTGAAGTAAAGCTATAGGCCTGCTAAGAGGGAAAGCTATTTTTGAAAGCATGTTTCTGCCAGGAGGGGGGCTAACTGATTACTAGAAGGTAAGCAGTAGAAGGGATGGTGGCTCTATGCTTATGCATTTGGGCTGCGGTCCACAAGGTCCCCAGTTGAAAGCCACCAGCCGCTTCTTGGGAGAAAGATGGGGGCTTTCTCCTCCCCTAAACAGTTTGAGTCTCTGAAACTCAAAAGGGGCAGTTCTACCCCGTCCTATAGGGTTGCTATGAATTGGCAGTGAGTTTGTTTTCTAATGGCAGTGGGGTGTTTAAGGAAGTGTAGGGACTTAGTGGATTTGGGTGATGAAGATGTAACAAGTGCAGGAACAATGAACATGTATATTTTCTATACATTAATGTACATAGAGCTCCATGTACATTAGCTATTCTGTAAAACAGGCAAGATTATTATGGCCATTATGGCCAGGATAGGGAGACTGGGATTTGGGAGATTAAACAATTGAATCCAAGGTTGTACAAAAACAGAACAAGAGTCATAGAAGCTTAGTTTCTTAAATTTGGGGGAATATCAGTTCACATTATTAATAAGAATGCGATGCAGACTGGAGTTGCAGAGTGGGCAGAGTTGAGGGTGCACTCAACTCCTCGCTATTGTGTCCATACCAACTCATATAGCGACCCCCTCGTGGGTTTCTGAGACTGTAACTGTTTTCCGAGCAGGGGTTGCTGGTTTTGAACTGCAGACCACAGCCCCACCACTACACCACCAGGGCTCCTTAGGGGCGTCTGAAGTGGTAGTTAGGTACTAGATCAGGGTGGAAGAACAAAGGTACTCCATTGCCATTAATGAGGAGACAGAAAACCAAAAAGCTGGTTTAGGTACAATTTACCGCTTTCAAGCTTTGGTCATATATAAACTCCCAGGTTCCCACAACTCCCCAGTTGGTTAGCAGCTTTGGAACAGATAGTTTTATTGAAGGTCTTTCGAACACAAGGGCAAAAGACTCTAGCCTTTTAATAGCAACACCCAGGAAGGTACTAAACAGACTACAAAGAGAGAATCATAAAAAAATAACAATTTAGTTTGGGAGATTGGCTGTGTGCGAAGTGAAAATATGGACGCGTCAAGTCCCACTTTTTAACTGGCCAATATTATTCAGAGGCGGCTAAGTGCTGAAGCAAATTTAGCATTTTGTACGGGAATCTAGCCTAACCAGATCGAAATCATTCTAAAACAATGAAAGCTCCCTCTGTTTATGCAACACTGCTTTTCATGATCCTATTTGGGAGTTCTGAGGGTGAAAGAGAGAAAACACGGGGAGGTAGGAGGGGAACTAGACTTTGCAGAGAGAGTAGGGCGATCCGACTTGGGAGCTGATTTGGCACCAGAGGCTGCACGACTAAACAGATCCCGCAGCCAGTAGTCTCCACAACCCCAACCCACAGCGATCAAGGCTCCCACCCGCCCCATCCCAGACAGCCGCTGCTCGCCCCGCCCTCCAGCGTTCATTGGTTCTCGGCCGCGGCCCCGAACTAGCAGCCTCGTCCCTATTGGGTCACACAATCCCTGGGGCGTGGTAAGGAAGGGAAGACCTGGAAACAAGCGAGCACCGCCTTCCAGGAGGAGGTGAAAGGGGCGGGGCGGAGGGAGGGCTTCCAGTAGAGGAGGCGGTGGCTATGGCAGCTGCGCGTAGGCCACGGCGGCTGCGGAGGAGCGCGCGCCCGCCTTTGAATGAGCGGCGCTGGGACTGAACGCGCGGAGCGCGAGCGCGAGGAAGCGACCGGCAGTGCGCGCGCACGCGCTTGACTGTGCGCGCGCGGGCGCGCGGCCCGCGACAGCTCGGAGCCTTCGCCGGGCGGGCTGGGAGGGGGAGGGGCAGGTGAGTGTGTGCGACCGGTGCGCGCTGGCAAGGGATTTCCCTACCCACACCCTGACCCCCACCCCTGCCCTGGGGGTGCCATCTGCCCTTTACCCCGTCACCCTCCTAGCCCGACACTTCCCTTCCTCCCACCTTCCTTTTCGCCGCTCCACCAGGCCCTGCCCCGCGCCTGCTGCCACGCTGGGGTACTGCTTCCGGGTCAGGGTGACCTCTGGGGTGAGTGAGTCGCGGCTGGGAGCTGGGCCCGCGTGGGCAGCCCTCGCCACGCCGCGGCCGCGCGTGGAGGGGCAGGCCTGCGGGTACCGGCCTGGCCAGCCCGCTCCCCACATCCGCCCCGCCGGGGAAGCCGCGGGCCCTTCCTGCCTTCCCTTTGAGGCCCGCACGTCTGAAGGAGGTTGTGTGAAACCCGGACCCCAAGGCGCCGGCCACCCACCTTCTGCCCTAGAACGCTGTGCCGACCCCGTGGCATGGCTTCGGATCGTGTAACCTGCAAACGCTCCCGTCGACACGCTCACCTGCAGGGCATATGACCCCCCACCCCCAGCCCGGCCGATTTCAGAGGGGTGCTCTGAAGTTAGAAGCATTTGAGTCACGAAACTCGGGTTCCTCTTGAGCCATTTCGGAAACCTCCCAAGAGTCAGTGGTGCCACTTGGGGGCCTGACCCGTTGCCAGAGACGGCGCCAAATGCTTTCCTTCACTATGGGTTCGAATCCTTCCAGTTCTCCTTGCCTACTTGGTACTGCGGAACCTTAGTTTTTTTAGATTTAAGAGGAAAGAACTAGGTTTTACTTTTTGGAGCTTTGTCACGTTCTTAAATTTAGAGAGTTAAAACGTCTTGAAGATGTGTCGGGCGGTATGAGAGATGTTTTCTTCCCACATTGGTTTTTAAAGTGTTTAGAAATTTTAGTGGTTGGAGTTTATGCCATAAGAACGCCATCAGACTTAGGGAATGTACGTTTTCTTGGTGTGGACCCACACTGATCATGGCTGGACTTGGTTAGTGAACTATGACCACAGTGGACGTGCTGAAAGGATCTCACCAGCAATTTACAGCCCTTATAAAGAAGGAAGAGATAATCAGTTTTTAAATGCAGCGTTCTCTTCAAACATTTTAGGTGAATCTTCCTTGATGCAGCTTAGTAATTCCCTAGAGATTCTGTTTCTCCCATTTGTTACATGATTTAAAATCTCTTTTGTTTTTGCTGTTAGAGCTTGTTTTTGTATTTTCCTAGAAAATTTAAGGGACTTTAAAGCATTTTCAAGTGTATACTATATATTAGCATTGCTCAGTTCGAGAAAATATTTTGCCACACCAAAATACAAAATAGCTCTAGATACATACGACATTTTTGGTGTAGAGGGCGTTTCAACAATCACAGGGGAGCGGTGGATATAGGATTAAATAAGAAAAATACTCAAGTAGGATATGGGCTCAGACTCTAAATCCGTGATGAATGAGTAAATCTTTGTACTGTCAGCTTCATCCGGTGAATGGGAACATAGTGAAGCTTACCCCTCTGGTTATCTTTAAGATTCCATTGGGTGTTAAAATATACATCAAGTAGAACAGTGTTTCTCGAAGTGGGCACACACCCTTTGGGGGTGAGGGTAGAGTGGGGTGCTGGAAAAATGGGAGGCAGGGGCTGCAAAAGCAGGTATCTATTCATTATCTTGGATTATGAGCTATAGTACAAAGGATTTCACTACCAGGGGTGCTGAGAAAATGAGGTGGCCCTATGTACAACAGAACAATACACTGCCCAGTCCTGTGCCATCCTCACAGTTGTTGCTCTGTTTGAGCTCACTGTTGCGGCCACTGTGTCATCCCATCTTGTTAAGGGTGTTCCTCTTTTTGCTGCCCTTCTACTTTACCAAGCATGATGTCATTTTTCAGAGACTCGTCTCTCGACATGATGTCCAACATATGCGAGAAGTCTCCTCATCCTTGCCTCTAAGGAGCATTCTAGCTGTACTTCCAAGACAGATTGAGGTGTGTGTGTGTTTGGTGTTTTTACACTCCATGGTACTTTCAATATTCTTTGCCCGGACCATAATTCAAATACATGGACTCTTCTTTGGTCTTTCTTATTCAGTGTCCAACTTTCATATTCATAAGAGGCAATTGAAAATACCATGGCTTTTCGGGCATACCTAAGTCCTCAGCAACTCCCTTGCTTTTCAACACTTTAAAGTAGTTTTGTGCTGCTGATTTACCTAAAGCAACTTGTCTTTTGATCACTTGCTGCTTCCATGAGCACTGACTGTGGATCCAAACAAGACAGAATCCTTGACAATGTCATTCTTACCTCTGCTCATCATGATGTTAACTACTGGTCGAGTTTGAGAATTCTGGTCTTTACTTTGACTTGTAATCGATACTGAAGGCTGCAGTAAGTTTGGGAACCTCTGTCTTGCACATATTGAGTCCAAGACTTAAATAGAAATATTAAATTGGTGAAGCGAGATGAGTCCTTTACCTTGGTCTCATGCATTCTAGAGGCATAGCGTACATTGTGGACAAGCTCATGACCTATGAGCAGAGAACACAGAACCTGTGGGCAGCGGGGTCAGACGCGTTTCCCAGCAGGTAGGCTAGTGTCTGAAACATTACTGTTAGCCACTATCAAATGGGCACCTGTTGGTGGTGATTTATGTTTCATAGATGAAAACATTGCTGAGTCCTGTGCCAGCTTCACGGTCGATCTTTGTTATGTTTGAGTCCGTACCAGAGGTGGCTAGTGGGTCAGTCAGTTCATTGAGAGTACCCTTGTTGTCGTGGACCTTCTGCTTTGCAGGCCCGTCTGGCCTCCTGTGGCTGCTCTTTCTAAGAAGTATGTTCTTCTGGGGTGTTATTGTTCATTTTACAGGACTGTCTATTGCTGGGTCCCCAAGGTTTGCTTTAGTTCCGGGGATTGAAGGGCATTTCAGCCCCATAGTCTTGGAGATTCTACCAGTCTCTGTGAGACAAATACGGGCTTTTTTATGATTTCGATCTACATTTTTTTCCTACTTTGTCCAGGGCCTTCTCTTGTGATCCGGATTTGGGGTATCTGTAGTGGTAGCCAGGCACCATCGAGTCCTTCTGGTTTAGTGAGGTATTCTTGTATTTTGAAGTAAATTTTAAATCATTTAGGTTTTATATCAAGTAGATCAAATTTTAGATCAAGTAGATTTTAGATCATTTAGTATTGAATTACATAGACCTAGGTCTGTACCCCATGGCTTAGGTAGACTACTTAGTAGACCTAAGCTATGGGGCATGGAAACATGCATACTTTTTTTCTTCTCTAAAACGAATAAGGTGGATTGATAGGTAAACGAGTTAATAAATAGTGACCTGTCCATGAATTCATCTTCTCTTTCATTACAACAGTAAGTTTTCCACAGAATGATCATATTCTTCCTTCTTTGGGAAGAATTCTATTATCTAATCAGTAATCGTCCACATAACTCATTTTCTGTTGGAAAAAAATTTAAATTTTATTTCACTTATGTTTAAAATAATTCCATTTGACAAGTACTTATTGAACAACTACAACTAGTGGGTAGGTAGTTGTTAACAAGACACTAAATGGACTTTATTCTCTCCATTCAGTAATCCTGAGGCAACTCACCTCAGCTCAAATAGTATATAAATAACCATTTACCTTTAAAATCTTTTCATAGGGTATCTCCTTAGTACTGTCCCCTTCCCCAAAACCACATGCTCTACAATCTCATATATAGATGCTTTTTTAAAAACACATTTTTCCTGAAAATTTATTCCAAATTTTAATTTCACTAGTAAATAGTGAAATTTTATTTTCATTTGGTCAAGAGACCAATCAGTTTTAAAATGAAGCTTTTATTCATCATGCTAATTGGTCAGCTCTTTCTACCTATAATGAAGCATCTCTCTTCGCGGGGGTGGGGGGGTCGGGTGGGGGGGGGTAACTGGAAGTACCAGCTGAGGAAGAAACTGAAGGATGATTGAGCAAACGAGGTGTAGAGGAATCACTGTTGCACAAAAGAGTCCCCGGGTAGCACTCATGGATACGCACTCTATACTAGCTGTTCTGACACAGCGCTCTGCTTCCAAATGCTCACAGCCTTGAAGAGTATGGAGCAGTTCTGCTCCGCACACACGTGGTCACCGTGAGTCAGAATCCACTCAGTGGAAACGAACAACGAAACATCCGTGTAAAGAGCGAAAAGATTGAAATGAAGAAGACTTTATAATAGTCTAGCCAAGAGGTGAGATGATAATAAAGGCGTAGGACAGTGGTTCTCAACCGTCCTAATGCCGCAACCCTTTAAGACAGTTCCTCAGTTGTGGTGAACCCCAAACATAAAATTATTTTCCTTGCTACTTCATCACTGTCATTTTGCTACTGTTATGAATTGAGCAACTCCTGTGAAAATGTCGTTCAACCCCCAAAGGAGTCATAACCTACAGGTTGAAAACCGCTGGTGTAGGAGATTGCGAATAATATAGGCAGCATATGGAAATAAAACATCATTTTGCCACCTAAGGAGTAAGGGAGAAAGAAGTTAAAATTGTTGCATATTGTTAGAGAACGATTTGCAACACTGTTACTGTACCTATGAAAGCCAACATGCTGTTTCCAGCCATGGCAATAGAAAAGCTGTGTTTGTTTTGCTCCTTTTCAGAAGGAACCAGCAGTGGTATTCCTATAGAGCAATTAGTGTTGGGTACTTTGAAGAAGAATCATTCTGCGATGTGCAGATGATATAAGTTTGTTGAAGTGAAAAGGTCTTGAAGCTTTTGCTGATGAAGATCAAGGATTGTAGCCTTCAGTGTGGAGTACAACTCAGTACAGATGACCACAACCCTCACAAATGGACCAACAGGTAACATCATTATAAATGGAGGAAAGGTTGAAGTTGTCAAGGATTTCATCTTGCTAGTCCACAATCCGGGCTCTCAGGGAAGCAGCAGTCGAGATCAAAAGACAAGTTGCATTAGCTAAATTTGCTGCATGAGACCTCTTTAAAGTATTGAAAAGCAAGGATGTCACTTTGAGGTCTAAGGTCCACCTGACCAAAGCCATAGTATTTTCATTTCCCTCATGAATGTGAAGTTCGACATTCAGTAAGGAAGACTGAAGAATCATTATCTCGTGTGTGTTGATTAAGGTGGCTATATTTACGGCATCTGATGGGAACTATATACCTGATTATGGATGAAAGAGGATGAAATCCAAGCTTTGGCAAGTTGGTACCAATTAAACTATGTAAATGAATGTTTAAAAAAAACCAAGAAGTGCATTTGAATTACAGTGCTGGTGAAAAATATTGAAAGTACCAAGAACTGGCAATAGAACTGTTAAGTCTGTTTGGAAGAAACACAACTGTAAGAAGTACAACTGGCTCCTTAGAGCCAAGGATGGTGAGAAAGACATCGTGTTTGGTATAGTAGAGAGTCAGCAGAGAAGAAGTGGAAGAAGACCCGTAATAAGATGGAGTGGCACAGTGGCTGCAACAATGTGCAGCTCAAACATAAGAATCATTGTGACAATGGTGCACGACAGTGTAGTGTTTTCCTTTGTTGTATATATGGTCACTTTGAGTCGGAACTGACTCTATGACAGCTCCTTAAAGTAGACCTAATGAATGTTGACGGAGTAAAGCTTACTGAGCCTTCATATCCTGATGTGGCACAACTTAAAATGAGAAAAAATAGCTATAAGCATCCATTAATAATTGGAATATGGAATGAACAAAGGGAAGTTTAAAGTTGTCCAAAATAAACGAACTGATATAAAGGAATGGACTGGTGTTAGCCACTTTGTGCCAATCAGACTGCTATACAGGGGATGACAGAGTGATGGTGATGTTCATCATCCTAAAGATCATCTCAAGCTCTGTCCTGAAGTAGAGCATTATCAGTGGTAGAATAATGGCCACACACCTGCAAAGAGTACCAGTTAACATACATTATTCCGATTTACTCACCAACCACTAATGGCAAAGTGTAAAAAATTGGAACTGTAAAATAAGTTTGCAGTCTGAAATATATCAAACACAGTCAAGCTGTATTAATAATTACTGATTGGAATACAAATGTTGAACAGGAAGGATTGGTACCTGAAAAATGTGGCCTTAGTGATAGAAACAGTGCTTTTGATGGCCTGGTAGAATTTTGCAAGAACAAGGACTTATTCAGTGCAAATACCCTTTTCAACAACCTAAAAACCTGCACGTGAACCTCATCTGATGGAAACAGGAACCACCATGACTACTCTTCGTGGAAAGAGATGCTCAAACCAGGCCACAGTCTGGTGGTAAAATAGCCTGTCAATTACTTATATGCAAACTGGGTTTCACTGTTTTCATCTGAGTCAGAACTGAATCAGAACCTTGGAGTTAGCATTGATTGGATGGCTCCTAACCACCACGACCACCACCACCAGAATTGGATTTGTGGGTAGTGCAGTAGGTTGACACACTCAGCTGCTAAGTAGAGGGTTAAAGATTGAGCCCACCTCGAGGTGCCTTGGCAGGAAGGGTCTGCTCTCAAAAGAAAAAAAAAAAAAAAGTCAACTTTTGACACCCTGTGAGGCGTTGACAGCATGAGGCCTGCATTAGTCAAAGTTAGCGTGTGCACATTGGTCTGGTGAATGACTGCATGTAACGCTGGTGGTAGTTGTGTAGGAGGCCTGATTCCTCCTGCGAGCAGGGCAATTGACTTCAGTGTACCTTTTTGCTGCCATTGAGTTGATGCCTTAGTGTCCTCATTTAGAAAATTAAGAAAATTAGTCATATTAAAGTTTTCCAGCAGAGGAGTCGGATTATTTTAAATGGCTGCGTGGTTATTTTCTTTCTTTGATAAGTAAAAAGCAAAGAAGAACTGAAACAGAAATTCCATTATTAGAGAATTCTCAAGTGTGAGCAGATAATCGGGGACAGAGCAAGAGACAAACACTATAATTTCTTGGGTTTTGATTTAACATGTAATCTACTCCACCACTCAACAGTTAATAAATGACCATTTCTCACAGAGTAACATTTTGTTGTTCCTCTTTTGTATTTATTTTGAGATTTTCCAGAGGGATTTTCTCGGTTTCTTAATGTATTCAACTTTGACTTCTGCCAAAACATATTTTAGAAAAGTTTAAAATTAGTAGTGACCAGAAAATATACTCATATACAATACATATATGATGTACCAAAACAAATGCATTGCTGTGAAGGCTATTCCAACATCTAGTGACCCTGTGCACAGAATGGAACTGTCCTCATGGGGCTTCCAAAACAGTGACTTTTATGGAAGCCGACTGCCGTGTCTTTTTCCCAAGGAGTAGCTGGTGGATTTCAGTCAGTGGGCGAGCATTTAAGCACTGCACCACCATAGCTCCTTATAGATGACTAGATGTGTTAAAGAATGTTTGAAATAGGGTCAGGTCTAAAAGACTAGCAAAATAATAACTGTCAACATTTTTGAAACTTTTTATATCTCCAGTACTATATTATGTAGAAGTGACAAAAGACTTTCAACTCTTGAAAACTTGTAAAACCTAGTTTCTCAAACTGTTGTTATGATTTACATCATCATTTTAACTTTGTGTTAATCTGTTTCTAGAGAAAAGTAATAAAAGCTTTTCTCAGTACATAACTGAACTTTTCAACTTCACTTCAGAAGTGTGACTTATAAAAGCAACTTAACGCATTTACATTTGTGCCTTTTCCCACAGGTTCTGAGATTCACCATGGCCATCACACAATTCCGGTTGTTTAAAGTTTGCACCTGCCTAGCAACAGTATTCTCATTCCTAAAGAGGTTAATATGCAGGTAAACACATTTTATGTTCATATTGGCCTGTCTGTCCCCTCTGGGTTTTAGTTGCCTTTAGAATTCCATATAGTCAGGACAGATTTAAACTAAATATTTACAGTCAGTATTCATTTTTATCTACTATTCTTTCATGTAACTGCTTTAGGAAACATTGGAAAGTAGATGTTCTTAGTGTTTTTCCAAACTCTTATATCTCCTATTGGAATAACACACTTAATGCTTAGAATTTCAAAAATAAGTGAGTCAGCTTTTATTATTGTAATCATCACAGGGATTTTATGTACCTGAATGTTTTATTATCAGAATTTATTAAGGTGCTTTGATGAAATTAGGTGTAAGTACTTCTTTATATGCTACAATGTATTTTATATTAAAAAACAAAGCCAATTTTAAGAGGGAAATCCCAAACGAAACAGATGTTTATGTCTCTTTAAATAACATCTCTTAACAGGCAAGTACATATGTAAACATATATATGGCGATGGGGAAATAGATCTATGTACATATATTTATAGGTTTAGTATTAAGGTAGCAGATGGACATTGGGCCTCCACTCAAGTACTCCCTCAATGCAAGAACACTTTGTTCTATTAACCTGGCAGCATTCCATGATACTCATCTTCCCAACACGATCGCTGAAGACAAAGCGGGTGCATAAGCAAATGTGAAGAAAGTTGATGGTGCACAGCTATCAAAAGATATAGCATCTGGGGTCTTCAAGGCTTGAAGATAAATAAGAAGCCATCTAGCTGAGAACCAAGAAAGCTCACATGGAAGAAGCACACCAGCCTGTGTGATCACAAGGTGTCAATAGGATCAGGTATCAGGCATCAAAAACAAAAAAATCATATCAATGTGAATGAAGGGGAGTGCGGAGTAGAGACCCAAGGCCCATTTGTAGGCAACTGGATATCCCCTTATAGAAGGGTCACGGGGAGGAGACCGATAAAACATACAGCTTTCTTCTAATTCTTAAATCCCCCCCACTGTCATGATCCCAGTTCTACCTTACAAATCCGGCTAGCCCAGAGGTTGTACACTGGTACAGATAAGAGCTAGAAACACAGGGAATTCAGGACAGATTAAACCCCACCACCATCCCCGACCAATAATGAGAGTAACAATACTAGGAGGGGAAGGGGAAGGTGGGGCAGAAAGGGGGAACCGAGCACAATGATCTATACATAACCCCCTCCCTGGTGGACGGACAGCAGAAAAGTGGGTGAAAGGAGACATCGGACAGTGTAAGACATGACAAAATAATAATAATTTATAAATTATCAAGGGTTCGTGAGGGAAGGAGTGTGGAGGGAGGGGGGAAAATGAGCTGATACCAAGGGCTCAAGTAGAAAGAAAATGTTTTGAAAATGACGATGGCAACAAATGTACAATACCCAATGGATGGATGGATGGATTGTGATAAGTTGTGCGAGCCTCCAATAAAATGATTTTACAAAAAACAAAATAAAAATGCCAAATATTTTCACCAAAATAAATGAATAACATATCTTAGTGGGGAGGTAATTACAGAGCAGGGTGTCCAGAGCAGACTAAGTTGTTTTGCTTTAGTAGGTCATCCAAAACTTGATGTTTCTTTTGTCTTATAACACTAGCAAACACTAGAGCTATATTTCCTAAACTGTGTGGGAAGTGCAGCAGACCCATAGAGGTGCTACCAAATATCAAACTCACTGCCATCAGTTGATGCCAACTTACAACCTCCCTATAGGGCAGGGTAGAACTAACTGCCTCTGGTTTCTGAGACAGGAACTCTGGGAATAGAAAACTCTATTTTTCTCCCATGGAGCAGCGGGTGGTTTCAAAAACTGCTGACCTTGTAGTTAGCAGTTCAACTCATAAGCACTATGTACCAGAGGTGCCACGGGATATTTACACTGTCAACAAAATGGTGATGGTGAGAATCACTGTCTTACGGACTCTGCACATATAACCAAGTGAGGATAGTTCACACTTGTAGATTGTATAGCATCCCTTTTTTGGTAAGCATTCTTTTTGATGATATTCACACATGCTTGAGATTAGGTTTTTGTTTACTTATACTTTTGGTGATATTATATCTTTGCAAAGCAAATACAGTGCCAAAATAAATACGGAACAGGAAATGATGCTGGCCGTGTCCAATCAGATTCCAAGGTTTGAGAAGTTGTGCAATGCCCTGCAGGCACACACACTCCACTAGTAAATAGTTGTGATGATTTAAGAATGGAAGGCAACTTATCTTTTCTTTCAATTTATGTGTAATTTTTTTGTATGTACTCAAGGACTTCATAAAGTTGATGGAAAATTCCATTATGTCTTAATTCCATTTTTCAACAAATTTTTGGAAGCCTCCCAGTATGTGTATTGTTTTATTTATATATCTTTTACTTATTGCATTTTTTAACTTGCCCTTTGTTGTTTCCAGTTTAGGTATTTTAATTTTTTAAATGGCTATGTTGTTAGGACACCAATAGCTATTAAGTTGCTTGGGCCTGATTGAATCAGTGAGACTGTTACATATTACTTTTGGCTATGGGGGCTGTAAAAAGAACACTGATTCACTAAGGTAGCTTAAATTAAAAGGGGAAATGGAAGACAATCTTAAGTAGACATGATTTAGAAGCTGCATACAATAATTCTGTTTATAGCCTATTGTTTAGAACAACGGTTCTCAACCTATGGGTCGCGACCCCTTTGGGGGTCCAACGACCCTTTCACAGGGGTTGCCCAATTCATAACAGTAGCAAAATTACAGTGATGAAGTAGCAACAAAAGTAATTTCATGTTTGGGGAGTCACCACAACATGAGGGAACTGTATTAAAGGGTTGCGGCATTAGGAAGGTTGAGAACCACTGGTTTAGAACTTGGTCATATAGCTACCTCTCTGCAAGTGGGGCGGGAAACAGTCTCTAGCTAGGTAGCCATTTGATAGCTGCTAAAACTTTGAGGATTCAATGGCACTGGATTTATTAGACATCCATGGGTGTGGATTTATAAAAGAGAGAGCCCCAGAGAATGACAAGGATAATGAGTAGATGAAATGCAATGGGGACCACCATGGGAGGTGGAAGATCAAGTAAGAAGGAAGCCTTAGGCAGTAGCCTATGGAAATCACCCAGGAGGAGCACAGAATTTGGACTGTAATAAAAACAGTGAACCAAGTACACAAATGAACAGAGAATAAGGAAGAATAGTCTAATGTACTGTAAGCAGAGTAAGAGTGGGCATTCCAGAAAGCAGGATGTCAAAAGAAGCAGTTATGTTACAGTAGATGGTAGTTTTTGCATCTGTATCATCTAGTTGTTTTTTTTGTAATATAAATTACTTTTAGAATAAGAAATTGAATTTCACTGAAAATTATTTGAGCAATTTTTATTGTCACTGCCCATTTCTGTTTTCAGTGTAAATGTATTTACGATTAATTGTATGTGAGTTAAACTGACATTTTGTTCAGCTATGCTCCTAGGGCTCAGAAGGAATCTATCATGTGCTATAAAATATCAGACTTATACCCCAAAATGTAAGAGATTATATGACTTAACTGTTCAGCCTTTAAACAAATAAATTTTAATTTCTAATCTTCTAGTGAAAATAGCTGACTTTACCAATTAACTCTTAAGTAGATTTACTGTAGCTATTGGGAATTAAGCAAATGACTGCCATGTTTTCTTGCTAACAATAGAAGAAACCCCACTCACTGCCATCGAGTCAATTCTGACTCATAGCAACCCTATATAACACGCGTACAAATGGGCACAGAGTGCTCATGTTGTTTGTGCCTTGTGACATTTCCAAAGTGAACTTCAGCCTCATTCCTTAGTCTAAAATGTTCTTCTGATCATATATCTATACTAAAGGTAAAAGCCAAGGTCAAGAAGTCATGAATGTAGTTTGGTAATTGGAAAATCAGTCATTGAACCTGTGCCCTTGTTTTTATTAATATGAGTTGATAAGTATATCCCCTCCCCATTTGAGTCATTAATTGAAACTGTGAACCTCCTGAAGGCTGTCCATGGCACGTGCCATCAGTTGGAAGCATGAACAGAGGGAAACCTGTACTGGCCTAAATGGCGTTGAGTAGCTATCACTTTAGATCTTCATTCAGTCTTCATTGATGCGATCATTACAGCCCTTTTCTCACTCTAACATTAACTAGAGAAATAAAGCAAAACTAATACTTTGTGCTCAGCGGTTGAACTCAGAAATCTTATCAGATCATATTAAGCAGTCATTAAGCTATTTTAAAACTATGTTAGGTCTGATTATTTCACAGTCTGATTGTGTCTTGTTAGCACCAGTGTCTTCAGTCAGTGAGCATGCATTACCTTACTCATGTTTGTGAGCAAATGAAAAGACCTTTGATTTCTCACACTTGAATTTTGAGATCCTTTTGTTAGAACCAGTCAAACCAACCCGATCCCACTACCATCGAGTTGATTCCAACTCATATTGACCCAGTCCTTAAGGATGTCTGTAAATCGTACTGGGAACAGACAGCCTCATGTTTCACCTGTGTGGTGGCTGGTGGCTTTGGCTATTTACTGATTATATTGTGTGCATTTTCCCAGGTTGTAAATATTAGAATTCTTTAGGGTTATGTCAGGAATTAAAGGGATGTCCAACACTCTGACTTCCAACTGAAAGTTGTTGGGAGGGTGGAGGAAAGGTGTTAGAGAATCGTGTATTTGCAAGTGGAGAAAGAAGAAAAGGAACTGGAGAAAATGAATCAACCTTTCTCACTATCATAATTCAGATCAAAGCAAAATTTCTGCAAATGAAGAGAAATCCTAGGTTTCCTTTACTCGGTTTGTAAATGCATGAAAATAAATAGCCAGCAACTTCTGGATGACTGGAGCCAACGATGATCAACTTCTGTGAGTTTACACAGAAATATGTTTGAACTTGGCATTTCTACATTGGGTGTAATTAATATGCCTGAGGTTCTGATGTCTCTTGATACTTTGGCCACCAGGACTATAGCTGCTCATCACGTATTAAAACTGTAGTCATCACAACCATTAGGCACAAGAGGGCATGCTTCACTGTAGTTCTTGGTTGCCTTGCAAGTGGGATGAAATTAAAGCTGATGGTGATTTTCAAAGGAGGTACCATGCCCTGTGAAAACTGCACCCCAGTGTGGTGATTAACTTTAGTAAGGGATAGATGGATCGTGATGTTAGGAATACATGGGGAGATATACGAGGGGTTACCCCCCCCCAAAAAAAAAAAAAAACCCAGAATAACGCTTCACTGGGCAGAGCTTTTATAGTACGCATTTTTCCTGCTAGGTGAGCATCTAGCAACTCGCTCTGACTTAGTGCACCTAGTGGAGTCGCCTGGGAAAGTTCTCTGGCTACAGTGAATTTTTTCATAAGAACAGTTTTGCTTGAACCTTGTTTTTGTCATGCTTGATTTAAGAGAACAGTGTGCGGCTGTGAAATTTTGTTTCCTGCTTGGGTAAAATGCCGCAGAATCTGTTGTGATGTTGAACACAGCTTACAAGGACAACGCTATGGGAAAAACTCAAGTGCACGAGTGATTTCCTTGTTTCAATAAAGGTGAAATCTTGATTGATGACAAACCTCATTGTGGACATCCATCAGCTTCCACAGAAATGTTGACTTGTAGTGCATTTGAAGTCTGCAGGTGAGACTGTTAGTCAAGCTTTCTATTTAGAAGTTCTGAAAAGATTGCTAACGGTGTGCTAAAAAAAAAAAGTCTGATTTGTGGCAGACGGGCGACTGGTTTTGCCACCACGACAATGCACCTGCTCACTCAGCCATCTCAGTGCGCCAGTTTTTGGCAAAAAACAGCATGCCTCTCTTGCCCCATGCAGCTTACTCACCTGACCTCGCTTCTTCTGGCTTCATTTGGTTCTGTGAGTGAAGAGGGACATTAAAGGACAGCAATTTGACGGCATGGAAGAGATGAGGAAAAAACGAGGGAGGTGCTAAATGTTTCCAAGAATGGAACTGCAGATTTGACAAATGTATTAAGTGTAATGGAGAGTACTTTGAAGGTAATAAGGTTGTTTTGTAAAAAATTTAAATACATGGCTTTGGGGAAAACAACTTCTGGGTTTTTGGGGTACCCCTTTGGATGCTATAGGGCCTAACGGAATTCTTTTCAAAGAAGTCTGCCCTGATTTTCAGCAGCCATGGTTGCTTGCCACCGCCCACAAAAAGGCTCAGAATTGAATTAGTGTTCATATAGCAGTCATACTCGGTAGCCTTACCTGCAAACTCCAGTCGCTAGATAGAACAGTCAACCACCCGTTCAGGAGTTCCTTGAGAAGAATAGAATGAGTGGGTACAGTCTGAGATTCACTAGTTCACACCATCAGGAAAATTGAAGTGGGTGACCTTTGCAGAAGTCTGCAAGTGGGGTCTGCTTGGGTAAAAATAACTCCAGAAACCCTCGGCCATGTCTTCAGGAAGGTGGGGATTATGTGCCAACCGAGTACCTGTGAAGGTGCTGACGGCAGGGATGATGACATTGGTTCAGAAGCCATAGAAGAGCATCCATGCCAACTCTGAGATATTTTAATCATTGTAGGAGTCAAACTTTGAAGGTTTCTGGGAGTCGGATGATGATAATGAACAAAATGGCCTATTTTAGGATGAAAACAATTCTGGTGACTTTGTATTTCAAAGTCATCAAAATTTGTTTCAGTTTTAAGATTTATGAAAGCAGTAAGTATAGTATCTTGTTCTTGTAATTCTAGGCTTAGTATAATCTTTTACAAATTACTAGCGCTTCATCTGTTCATCCTCTTTATTGTCAACATGATTTCCCATTTCCATCATGGACGTTGGCTTAGGAAACTAACCTTAAATGAAGTTTCCACGAGATCAGTTTTATCTCAGTAACATTAAATCCATTGGATACATAAATTTAAATTGAAGTTGGCAACATGTACAGAAATGATACAGCATTCGATGAAAGTAACGTGTGTGGGCTGCTCAATTTGTAAAAACGTATTATGCCATATTTGCTATTGATATTTAGAAATGGGGTATCTATGTATGCCTACAATTTTTTGTGTGTGCCAGATACCACCTTCAGTACATTAAGTACCATATATACCCAAATATCAGCCTAGGCACCCAATTTTACAACAAAAACTGCATTAGAGATGTGCTGGAAAAACTTGGCTTTTACATGAGTATATACAGTATGTCCTTTTAAGTCTTCACAAAAACTCTACAGAAGGCAATTGGATATCTGTATCTTATAAATGAAGATATTGAAACTGAAAGATGATTCTACTTGAACCCCGGATTAGTAAAACCAGAATTTACACGGGTTCCATAGCCTGTGCTTCTAATCATTGTGTTATAATACCAATCCTATGTAATACAGTATTTTTCTTATTAATCTTAGACTTCACGTTCAACTAGGAATTTTTTAGGTTTTTAAGTTTAATGATCATTACACAGAAGCACAATTTGTAAAACAATGAAAACACCCTGCATGGGTAAAACATCCTGTGTGGGCCAGAGCCTCACATACAGAGCCTATGGTACCTTAGGGGGCTAGTTTTGAAACCGCCGCACACTGTGTTTGTTTACAGTTCTGAGGCTTCAGGCAAATGCAACTTATGTTGGCCTAGTCAAGATGTTAAAAATATTCTTAAGGGACTTGATTCCTGCATGTCTGCATCATATTGTAATGAGCAACTGCTAATTGTTAAAAGAAATAATTTTAAATGAAGAAAGATTTTGTTTTGTTAGCCTTAAATATGTCTATAATCCTTTTCCCCATGTTTTTTTTTAAAGTTCCAGATACATAGTGTAGATACCTTGCTTGTGAAACTCAATTACTTCCAAATTTGTGTTCAAACGCCGAATTGTTGTTCTAGCACCACTGAGTTGTTTCTGACTTATACAAATTAACAGTAACTTTTCAACCTCTTCGATGGCCTGAGTTTTTTGGTTTGTGGTTAATGACTTCACACCTTTCCCTACACTAACCGCTTTTATTCTTTTTTTCCCCATAAAAATGTTGATAATGTCATCTTAGCCATCTTATGTTTAGCTGCCAAATCAGACTGGTGGCAACCTATTTCCAGTTTCACTCTCCTGCTGGTATCACTAATTTTCTTTGGAGCATGGTTATGATATTTTATGCAAATAAAGCACACACCAAAATAGCACAATGATGAATTTTCAAGCACTAACAACATGCACTGTATGTTATCTGAGCAAGAGCAGCACGTAGACTGCAGTGTCACTCCTTTGTGTCTGCGGCGAGATGTGACACCTCACTCGCTCTGGCCTCGTTCAAGTTTTTTCAAGCCAGATTTGAGTGTGACTATTGAGCAAAGTTCTGAACATGAGTAGATTGTTTTTCGAGCTTTGTTGTTTGAGTAACAGAAAGTTCAAGCTTGGGGCTGTTTGACGACTGAGGTGCACTGTAAATTATTTCATTTTTGTTTCAGGTCTGGGAGAGGACGGAAATTAAGCGGTGACCAAATAACTTTGCCAACTACAGTTGATTATTCATCAGTTCCTAAACAGGTAATTTCTTAAAAGTTTAATAAATGTTTCAGAACACTACTTTTTAAAATTGAATTGCAATCCATTAGTGGGACATGAAATTTGGTGGTCAGGGTCAATTTATTGTTTTTGTTTTATTTTTCATTACTGGAAGAGCCATTTGGTTTTTCATTTGGTCTTTCACTGTTTTGCTGAGATGTTCCTTTTTTCCCATTAGTTTTTAAAATGTGTGTTACTACTTGTTGAAAAATATTTATAGTAGCTATTTTAAAGACTTTGCCAAATAATTTCACCTTTTTATATTTTCTTGGAGTTGGCACCTGCTGAGAGTTTAGTTGTTTTCCCATCCCAAATCATTTTGGATTATGATAGGGATATTTAAAATATTTCATTTAGAGATTCTGTAACTTTGAATTACATGGTGGTGACTGTTAATATTTTTTGCTTATCAGGCAATCCATTTAGGATTCGGTCACAAGTTCAATGGGGTATAATTCTAATTTCAGTTCAGTATTGAAAGCATTTGACTTTGGCATTGTTTTTTAATGGATAGAATAGAGTGGAAAGGAGTATCAGAATGTCTAGTAAAGCTTGTTTTTCAGACTTTTAATCCAGGTTTGGTATGTGATCCCAAAATGCACGCTTTGCTATGGGTCAAAAGAGTTGGAGAACTTTTTAAAGCCCATTTTCAAATATATTTTTAGTGAAGTATTAATTGGTTGTCTTGTGATTGATGAATTACATTTAGACAGATGTTGAAGAGTGGACTTCTTGGGATGAAGACGCGCCCACAAGTGTAAAGATTGAAGGAGGGAACGGAACTGTGTCAGCACAACAGAATGCTGTGGAGCAACTGGAACCTGACTATTTTAAGGACATGACACCAAATATACGGAAAACTCAGAAAGTATGTTAAAGATTGACTATTGGATATTAGCTACTATTCAAATTCCTAAAGTTCAACAATATAATTAGTATCTATTTCAAAGTATGTATCAGCTTATCAGTCTTCATATTAAAGAATTATACATATATGTGTTCAAATGACCAAGCCATAGGTGTAGTTATATTCCATAAGTTTTGTAAAAATTCTATCTAAGCACTGATTGAAATCTTCCCTTATATCAGATCTAGACTCCATTCTTGGTTGTGGAAGCTAAGCTGAATAAGCTATTTAGTTAAAGCCTTAAAAGAGTGCACGGTTTAATGAGTTTCTTGAACTCATGAGTATTTTCAGTTGTCTGTAACCATTGTCAAGCTGATACAGAGCGCTTGATAATTTACTGTGCAGGGTTTGCGTTAGCCATCTTTTGTCTAATCTCTTTTGTGGTGAATATGGCCATTCACTAAGATGCAGGAAATTACTGGGAAAAAGCACAGTGGTTGGATGTTTTCCTTTCCTTTTATCAAAGTTGTCCATAAACATTTTTAAAATCAAAGACTACAGACGGGCTTATAATGAAAAGCAAGGGACTTCTGCCTTCAGTCTCGTCACAGCCAACTCTGCTTCCCAGAAGCAGCGGCTCATAGTTTTCTCATCTGCTTTACTGCTAGTGCTTGACATCACATCTGTATGTGACATACTTATATGGCTATCTCTTAATTTACAAATTACAGATTGTCCATTGGCTTCATACTATGGGAAGTGAGATGCTTTTTTCCTGTTACTCTTTCCCCTTTTATCACTCCTTCAGATATTTTCATGTTATCCACGTGGTGCTGTACACTAAACTTTAGACTGCTAACGTCTAAGGTTGGTGTTTTACCCACCAGCCACTTCTGTTGGAGAAAAATGGATCTGTCCACTCCCCTAAGAGGTTCAGAACCACTATAGGTTCAATATTGTGCCACTTTGCTGTTTTTAAAAAAACAAACAAACAAACAAACCCAGAACTACAAGCATACATTAAAAGGATCACTTTTTGTTTAATTAAACATAAAAAATATTTCTTATAAGTCTACTTTATAAACTGGATGCTGCATGTATTACATACCCCTTAACTTGATTCCATACCTGCTTCTATCTTTCAGCCAGTTTTGGCTATACTTTTACTTATACATTGCCATGATTGCTGTTTTTGTTGAGTTATCCAAATTTCTCAATGCTGAGAAGCATGAAGTTGTGTATTTTCCAAGGAACCTTCGGATTTTTATCAAAATGTCTTGTTTGCTCAGTAGAACCTAGTTAATTACAGTAGTACATTATTAGTTTAATTTTCCAGCACTTTCTGTCAATATGTCTTACTCTGGTGGGGTGCATGTTGCTGTGATCCTGGAAGCGACATTGCCAGCATTTCAGTGCCAGCAGGGTCACCCAGTGTGAGCAGGTTCCAGTGGAGCGTCCAGACTAAGAACCAACTGCAAAGGACAAAGGAGGAATGAGCTATGCATTTCTCAGGGTTAGGCGGTGAAACCTTATGCACATCAGTGGAGCGTTGTCTATACAGTACCAGAAGATGGCCCTCTGTAGAGAAGGCACAATGTACAACTGGAGGAGAGCTGCCTCCTCAAAGTAGAATCAACCACTTGGGGATCTACTACAGCTTTGGAGACCTTCATTTGCTGAAATGCATGACTCAAAATGAGAAGACACAGGTGCAAACATTCAGTAATGACCAGAATATGGAACGTGTGAAGTATGTATCCAGGAAAATTGGAAGTCATCCAAAATGAAATAAAATGGAATGCATAAAGTTCAATATCCTAGGCATTTAGTGAGCTGAATTGGACCGATATTGGTCATTTTCAATCAAATCATACAGTTTGCCATGTGGAGAATGACAAATTCAAGAGGAATGGTGAGCTATCATCAAAAAGAACATTTCAAGATCACTCTCGAAGTACAGTGTTATTTGTGAAAGGATAATACCTATACACCTATAAGGAAGAACAGTTAATATGACTATTATTCAGATTCATACACCGACCACTGAAGCTACTGATGAAGAATGTGAACAATTCTACCAACTTTTTAAATATGAAATCGATCAGATATATAATCTAGATGGATTGATAGTGATTGGTGATTTGAATGTGAAAGTTGGAAACAGAAAGGATCAGTAGTTGGAAAATGTGGTCTTGGTGAGAGGGGAAAAGCTGGAAATCCCGATTAAACTTGGCAAGACCAAAATTTCTTCATTGCAAACACCCTTTTTCCAGCAAGATAGAGTGACTGTACATGTGGATTTCACCAGATGAAATGCGCAAGAATAAAATTTACTATCTCAGACAATGGGGCAGATTAATATTAGTACCCAAAATGAGGTCATGGGCTGACTGTGGAACAAACTATCCGTTACTCCTATGTTGTTCAGATGGAAGTTGAAAATTAAAACAAATCCACAAGAGCTGAAATACATCTTTGAGTATATCCCACCTAATTTATAGAACATCTCAAGAACAGATTTACTGCATAGAATACTAATGACAGACGACCAGACAAGCTGTATGATGTCATCAGGAATATCATACATGAGGAAAGCAAAAGGTCTTTATAAAAACATAAAAGAAAAGTCCACAGTGGATTTCAGCAGACTCTGCAGCTTACTCTTGTTCATGTTATACCTAAATCACATGGGGAAAAATGATGTAAAAGAGCTGAGCAAAAATTCAAAAGGGCAGCATGAGAAGGCAAAGTGAAGTATTATAATGAAATGTGCAAGGACCTGGAGTTAGAAAACAAAAGAGGAAGAACACATTAAGGGCATGTCCAACTGCAAGAACTGAAGAAAAAATTCTTACCTTGATTTGCAATATTGAAGGCTTGTTCTAGGGGCAAAACATTGAATGATGTAGAAAGCATCAAAAGAAGATGGAAAGAACACACAGTCAATGTATTTAAAAAAGAACTAGTTTATATTCACCCATTATAAGAAGTAGTATATGTTCAAGAGTCAATGGTACCGATGGGAGAAGCCCAAGCTGCACTCAAGGCATTAGAGGAAAACAAGAGTCTGGGAATTGATGGAATACCAAGTGAAATGTTTCAACACGCTGTTAAAGTACTGCTGAAAGCACTCACATGTCTGAAGAGAAACTGGGAAGATAGGTATCAGTACAACTGACTGGGAGAGATCTGCATGTGTATCCATTCCAAAGACAGATGATCCAACTGTGTGGAAATTAGTAAACAATTTGCTTGATATCACATGCAAGTAAAATTTTGCTCAAGATAATTCAACAGAGATTACAGCAGTATATCAACAGGGAGCTGCCAGAAATTCAAGCCAGATTCCGAAGATCCGTAATGAAGGATATCATTGCTGACATCAGGTGGATCTTGGTTCAAAGCAAAGAATACCAGAAAGATACTTATTTGTGTTTTATTGTCTAGGCACAAGCATTCAACTATGTGAATCATAGCAAACTATGGATAACATTGAGAGAAGTGGGAATTCTAAAACACTTTGTTGTATTCATTTAGAATATCCAGTACACAGACCAAGAGGCAGTCGTTCTAATGGATGATGATTAGAAACACTGAAGGAGAATGGATGCATTTTAATTATGAATTTTTGTAGGGAGCATTGGAAGTACTGTGGACTGCCAGAAAAAAACACACAGATCTGTCGTCGAAAAGGTATAGCCAGAATGCTCCTTAGAAACAAGCCTGGTAAGATTCTGTCTCATGAACTTTCAACATGTTATCAGGAGAAACCAGTCCCAGGAAAAGGACATCACGCTTGGGAAAGTCGAGGGTCAGGTTGAAAAAGGGAGACCTTCAGTGAGCTGGATTAACACAGTGGCTGCAGCAGTAGGTTCAAAGTTAACGATTGTGAAGATGGCGCAGGCGCTGTTATTATTTTGTTCTTTTGTGCACGTGGTTGCTATGATTTGGAACCCACTTAAATTGTGTTTAAGTTAAAATATATCAAACTAATGTGTTCTGGTTGGGAGTCTAAGATGTGGTGGTATCTCTCCCTGAGGACAGATGAGTGAAGATAATCAAAGATGTAAGGAAATTCATTGAACTGATGGTCCATGGGAACCACAGCCTCCACTACCAGAACAGCTAGATGATGTTCAGCTACCACTACTGACGGCTATGTTTGCTACCACCAAAGGGCCTGGATAGAATGAGAGGAAATGGTATAGCAAAATTTAAAATCACAAAAAGACTAGACTGACTTGTCTGATAGAAATCGGTATAACGCCTGAAACCAGGGCCCTCATGCAGGGTCTTTAAGCTCAGAACTGAACCTACCCCTGACATCATATTGCAGTCAAACAAGAGACGTGCCTACAAAAAGAGCTGTAAAACTTGGGAGGGACATACTCTTCAGAATAAGCCATCAAATGAGATCAAAAGACGCACTGCCACAAAAGGAAGCTCAGAAAGTACCATACATGCTCCAGTATAAGCTGACCCGAATATCAGCCGAAGCACCTAATTTTACCACAAAAACTGCATTAAAAACTTGCTGAAAAACTCAACTTATACACGAGTATATATGCTAATAAGGGGTAGGTAAGAAAGATAAATGGAAATTGGGAAAGAGTGTGGTGACGCTGTTGGAAGTGCAACTAAAATGTGTATAAATTGTTTATGGAAAACATTTGCTATGTATAAACTTTCATCCAAACTACAACTTCAAAAATGGTAAGTTTTGAAAATGTATCCTTAGCTACTGGTCTGAAAGAACTAATTAATGCATTCACAGATGTCCCACATGCTATCTTTTTGGCAGGGTGAGATAACATGGTGTTATTTAATGCAATGTCATATTATGTGGGGTCTAAGGAAAGGGAGAAGATAATAATTTATCTCGTGAAATAATTTTTCTTAATTGGATTAAGATGTAATTCTATCATGTGACAGTTGTCTGGGAATTTGAATACTCTATAGAACTATTTCTTTAATACTACATAATACATTAGAAAGGAAGAAAGTTAGAGCACACTTTGCTTAAAAAATACTTGGGCCAATTGCTTATCTATTTTATATAAAAATGTGTAAAATAATCCTTGTTTCTGTTTCAATTTTTCAGATTGTTATTAAGAAGAGGGAACCATTAAATTTTGCCATCCCAGATGGCAGTACAGGTTTCTCTAGTAGATTAGCAGCTACACAAGATCTGCCTTTCATTCACCAGTCTGTAAGTATTTCATGACAAGGATTTAGGGAAAGGATTTCTTGGTTTTGTTTAATGAATTAGGGGGGGTGTCAGAGAGAGTATCTAAATGAATTGCACATGGTATTTGTATTTCTATGACCATGAAAATAAGGTATAGCAATTAGAAATTGTTGTTTTTCTTTTTTTTCTTTTTGAATTGTTGTTTTAACTTAATTTTTGTAAGATGATAAATTATTTCAATATTAAGAGTACCAATGACCTTTATAAAAAAATGAGACAAAATGTTATTTAAAAACCTGAACTTTAAAGAAATTACCACTAAAATGAGTTTGAAACGGAATAAGTTATATCTAACTTATTCCATTTACAAGTTGTAGATTGTTTCTTTGATAGAGTATATTATATTTTAACAGTGATTTGACTTAAATGGGTGTGACTTACATGCAACTTTTAAAAGATAAAAAGTAGTGGGTAAAGTAAATGACTTTGGTTCACAGTCTTGAAAATATATCAGAATCAGCTTCTTTAAATGCAGATGTTCAGCCCGACCTCCCACTCTCTCACTTAATATCTGGTGGTGGTACTTAACCATGCTTTGAGTGATTAAATGATCGATTGTATTGGTTTTCTACTACTCTATGATAACCTTGAATTTAGTGTCATAAGAACAATAAACGTTACCTGCACAGTTCCTGTGGATCAGAAAACCAGGGGCGACTGAACTGGAAGAGTCTAGTTGTGAGATTTCTTGTGAGTTTGCAGACAAGTCAGTGATTGGCTGTGGAGTCATTTGAAGAGTTGCCGGGGCAGAAGGACTCACTGAGAAGTGACTTGTGAATGTGGCAAATAGATGCTGATATGCTGTCGGTCTCTTCCGAGGGCTGCTTGAACTAGCTCCCAGCGTCACAGCTGCTACCTCCACGGGAGCAGCTCTCCTCCGCCCTGCAGGTTCCCTATGAGTCAGAACTGACCGACCACCAGGGAGTGTTTTGAGTGTCAGGCCCAGTGATTTGTGCTGATAACACAGTGATGAGAGAAAACAGAGAAGGTTCTTGCTTCATAGGATGCATTCTTTTAGAGGCGACATACTATTCAGTAAGTGGTCATCTGTATGAATACAGTTAAAAAGTGATGATTGCTATGCAGCTTCATGATGCTCGAGCATTCCCATCTGCTCTACCTCCTCAGACACCCTCTAAACCCTCAACCCCTGGCAACCACGGATGTTTTCTTGTGTGTAGGCTTGCATTTTTTCAACACGACATGCTTATCCACCTGTTTTTGGACAAAAAATTCACATGTATGACAATAGTAAATATTGTCCCGATTATTTTTGTGTATCAGTAGCATGGGTTTGATAGGTAACCATTGCTGAGGTGCAAAGCAAGAATTGTGCTTACTGTGATGGTTTATGATTATATGCTGGCTCTGCTGGGCCATGATGCTCAATGCTTTGGCAGTTATGTAATTAGGTAGTCCATTTTGTGATGTTCCTCCTTTTTGCAAACTGCCAGTTTTCAATTTAATGACGAGGTCTTTGGAACCTACTCAAGACAATAAGTGAAAAATGGGTATAGTTGGAATTAAAAAGAGGGGCTACAAAAGTTTGTGGAAAGAGTCCATTATCTTTTAATTCTATTTTTCCATAAAGCGGGTAGCCTTTTCATATTGGCCTCTTTCAATTCACTTAGCAATCTATATTTTTTGTGTAGCATATTTCTTTTTATTGCTGAAGATATAATCTCATTATATGGTTTTAGTATACATTTGCCTATTGAAAGACATTTGCTTCTAGTTTGGGGCAATTATGAATAAGATGATTACAAACGTTTGTTTATGGGTTTTTGTGTGAATCTAAGTTTTCAGCTCATTTGAGTAAATATCTATGAGCATGATTGCTTGATCATATGGTAAGCCTATGTTTATCTGTGTAAGAAATTGCCAAGCTCTCTTCCAAATTAACTGTACAATTTTACATTGCTGACAGAAACACAGAGCGTTTCTGTTGCTTTAAATTTTCCGTCGTGTTTGGTGTCGATGTTTTGGATGCTAGCCATTCTAATAAGGGTTTAATGATAGCTCATTGTTGTCTTAACTAACGACATAAGAAGATCACTAGGGTGAAGGGAATGTGGGATAGAAAGGGGGAAACAATTACAAGAATCTAAGTATTACCTCCTCCCTGGGGCATGGACAGCAGAGAAGAGGGCAGAGGGAAACATCGGACAAGGGTAACTTATGACAAAACTATAATAATTTATGAACGATGAAGGGTTCATGAGGGAGGGGGAGGGGGGAGAGAGGGAGGAAATAAGCAACTGATATTAGGGGCTAGAGTGGGAGGCAAATGTTTTGAGAATGATGAGAGCAACAAATGTGCATATGTGCTTGACACAATGGATGTATGTATGGATTGTGATGAGAACTGTACGAGCCCCCAATAAAATAATTAAATTTAAAAAAAGATCACTAGTGGCATAGTGGTTATGTGTTGGGCTGCTAACTGTAAGGTGATCCGTTCAAAACCACCAGCCACTCTGTGGGAGAGAGAAGAGACTTTCTACTACCATAAAGAATTGCAGTCACCGCTTCTTGGCCTTTTGGCTAAGATCAAGTTAGAATTACAGTCAAGGAAACCTATAGGGGCAGCCCTACCCTGCCCCATAGGGTCCCTGTGAGTTGGTATTGACTTGATAGTAGTGAGTTTGGTTTCTTGAGTTTAATGACAGATAACCCAGATAGCTCTGTCTATAACCAAGTCAAGCCTTTAGTTGGAGTTGTCAACTCTCCAAGGAGCCCTGGTCCTGGTGCTGTGGGATAAGCATCCGGCTGCTAACCTCAAGGTCAGTGGTTCAGACCCACCAACCACTGTGGGAAAGAGATGAGGCTAATGAGGACCTAATGTCGGGGGTTTAAGTAGAGAGAAAATGTTTTGAGAATGATGAGGGCAAAGAATGTACAAATGCGCTTTACACAGTTGATGTGTGTATGGATTGGGATAAGAGTTGTATAAGCCCCTAATAAAATGATTTTTAAAAAAAGAAAGAGATGAGGCTGCCTTTTCCCTTAAAGATTTACAGTCTCAGAAACCTTACATAGGGTCTCTGTGAGCCAAATTGATGTGATGTCAGTAGTTTTATTGGTAATGACAGTTAAGCATCTTCCACATGATTATTTGCCTCATGTTACATCTTCTTTGGTGAAGTCTTGCCCATTTTGTAATTGAGTGGTTTGGGTTCCATTTGCTGAGTTTAAAGGGCCCTTTGTGTATTTTGAGTATAAGTCCTTTATCAGATATTGTTTGTATCTTGTTTCTCCATGTCTCTGGATTGTGTTTTCATTCTCTGAAAAATGCCATTTAGAGCAGAAGATTGTAATTTAATGATGTTTTTGGAGAAAAGGTAGCACTTTACTATCATCGTTTTGTCTTATTTTTGCTGTAGCCTGAATTAGGGGATTTAGATACCTGGCAGGAAAATACCAATGCGTGGGAAGAAGAAGACGACGCAGCCTGGCAAGCAGAAGAAGTGCTGAGGTACATCCTGTGGCTCGTATTTGCACTGTAAACTGAGGAGAACTAGCTGTGTTCCCCGCTGTGTTTGACATCATAAAGCCTGCTCTGCCGAGTGTTGTGTTTTTCCTCATTCTCCCTCTTAGCAACTTCTGGTAACATAGGACATTTTTTCTTTTTTTAGACGACATGCACTTTTTTTGTGATTAAGCCCTCATTCTCAGAAACCAAGAATTTAAGAATAATTGCTCTTTTAGTGGCAAACAAGACCTTTTATAATATATGCTTTATACTTCATTCCTTATGAAACACCCATCTCTTCTATGTCCTACACTGAAGTGAGTCACCTCTGTCTATTCCTATAGGTCAGAAATGAACACTTTTTGCTTCCTATGGTTTAGCATATATTTGAATAAAATTATCTACACACATGCATACTTCCATATTTTCACTCTAGTTCTACATCCCAAAAAAGAGATGACGTTGCCTTCTCCTGTAGAGTTACAGTCTCAGGAACCCACAGGGCCACTCCTGCTCTGTTGCTATGAGTCAGAATTGACTCTCAGGCAATGATTTTAGTTTTTTGGTTTAGTGTACCCCAATCTCAGTTAATGTACATGTAAACTCTATAAGATAGGTAATGCAGAAAGTGCTTATTATACAGAAAGAAAATACTGTAGAGATTTAACTGTTTGGTTATTTTTCATTGGTTCTTTCTTTGTTTTAGTGATTAATCAACTCAGTTCTCACTACTGCTACATGGTATTAGAGACTAAGCAAACATTTTTTCTTGGGAGAACTATCATCACTGATCATTTACATGCAACTAAATTGCTTGTGTCTCTTTAAGAATGATATCATAAAATGCATGATATGCTTTTGTATTTTACAATTTTAAAGAAATGTTTTTGCAATAGGCCCCTGGTAGCACAATTTTAAAGTATTTCACTGTTAACCAAACAGCAGTTTGAATCTACAAGGCACTCTGGGAAAAAGATGTGGCTCTCTGCTTTCATAAAGATAGACACCTGACAGTTCTGCTGTGCCCAGTAGAGGTACCGTGAGTCACAATCCACTTGATGGCCTCGCACTTGGTATTTTGGTTAGTCACACTATCTTTTTAAAAACGTTTTTTTATTTAATCATTTTATTGGGGCGCATACAATTCATCACAATACATAGATCAATTGTGTAAAGTACACCTATACATTTGTTGCCCTCATCGTCCCCAAAATTCGCTTTACTCTTGAGTTCCCAGAATCAGCTCATTTTCCTTCCCCCTCCCCTGTGAACCCGTAATCATTTATAAATTATTATTATATCTTATCTTACACTGCCTGGCGTCTCCCTTCACCTACCCCTCTGCTGCCCATCCCCCAGAGTGGAGGTTATATGTAGATCCCTGTGATCAATTCCCCCTTTCTACACCCCCCACCTTCCCTCCTGGTATCACCACTGTCACCCCTGGTCCTGAGGGGTTCATCTGTCCTAGATTCCCTGCGTTTCCAGTTCCCATCTGTACCGCTGTGCATCCTCTGGTCTAACCAGGTTTACACGGCAGAATTGGGGTCATGGTAGTTGGGGGGAGGAAGCGTTTAAGAATTAGAGGAAGGTTGTGGGTTTCATTATTGCTATACTGAACCCTAAGTGACTCATCTCCTCCTCACTACCCCTCTGCAAGGTATGTCCAGTTGTCTAGAAATGGGTATTGGATCCCCATCACGTACCACCCTCATTGACAATGATATATATTTTCCAACCCCACCTTTGGTGTTTGAAGCGGCCATCTAGCCCAGAAGCAACAAAGCCCACATGGAAGCAGCACACCAACATGTGTGATCATGAAGGGCCAAAGGGACCAGGCTTCAATCACACTATCCTAAGAAAATGACTGATTTTATTTTCATTCTTTCCTTTCCAATTTGTCAGTAAATTACAATTACCTTGAATAGTCAGTAGAGGGTGCAGTTAAGTGACTGGAAATTACTTTTTCTTTTTTCAAACTGCTGTTGACGCTGGACTCTTTACTACATTGAATTTTCCTTATAGTGGATGGGTGGTTACAATATTTTCAAATGCAAACTGCAGAATTTATTAATTTTTCATGATTTGTTAAAAAACACAGCTCATCAAAAAAAAACAACACAACCCTACAAATCATCTAATTTCTAATCCTTTTTCAAAATATAACCACAGATGTAGAAGTCTGAATGTGTTAGAGAACATTTTGTGGCTTCTAGTGATGACCAATGTCAATAATGAGGATCAAGGAAGGAGCTGTTAATTTGAAGTCTGGTCATCGTGTCGAGTTTGTGCCAGGATGTCACAAGTACCTTCGCATCCACTTCACAGAAGCAGTCTGTTTCCAGCTCATCCTTGTCCTTTGTAAAGCTAGTATCTTTTTTTTTTCTCCCCACTTTATAATGACTGATTGGGAAAGAGAGTCAATGCATCAATAGCAGACATACTTCGTGCCTCAAGTTTCAAAAGTATAGCTGAAGGACAGTAGATGCTTCTGTGCCTTATTACTCAGAATACTGAAACTTTCACGTGTGTGTGCCTATTCCGTGCCCTCTAACTCCGAGCCTGTTTCTGACTGCCACTGTGCCACACTGCCACTGAGGACAGTTTCATTAGGAAGAAGTGTTTGATACCTTACTTTATTCCAGGATGAAACTGGACAGGTAAAATATATTTTGTTTGCAGTGATGACTAAATTGTCTCTTGTGCCGGGAAATAGCTCCCTTCTTGTCACTGTCATTTTACCTTTTTTTAGTGCAGATGTTCAGTTTTGCTTAAAAGTGAGCAGAGCTAATGAGAAGTATTTTCTTTATCCTTTCGGAAACATCTCTAATTATGCAGGTCAAAATGCTGCCTAGAATAAGTGTATATATTTTTTGAAATTCAGTCTGCTCCCCATCTTACGGGTTTGCAGAAAGTTTTTGGAAAACTTCCATTACCTTTTAATTCCATTTTCCATGAACTTTTGGAAGCCCCGTTCGTTGTCAGTGTGATTGAGAGCTTTATATACATTTCACTCAGCGTCAGCTTTGAGATACTCCGTAAACAGGTACGTTGTGGTGCATTTTGCTTCATGCAACCTAATGTCGCTTCAGTACCGCAGCGCAGTATACTTATTTTCTCCATCCCACCCTTCAGCTCCAACACTGACTTTTCTTCCCACTTCCTTCTGTTTCATCACTACCTACTACCCAACCCCCTACAAATCAATCAACAAAGATAGAGAGGCTTAGTTATTTCTGAGCCAATGGAGTTATATTGGGCAAAGGAGGAGGCACGCAGTCTATATAATAGATAAAATTAATAAAGAGGAGCCCTGGTAGTGTAGTGGTTACGAGTTGAGCTGTGATCCACATGGTCAGCAGTTCAAAGACCAGCAGAGGAAGACTAGGCTGGACTTTCTATCCCAGAGATAGTTACAGTCCCGGAAACCCACAGGGTGTTGCTGGAAGTTGGCATTGGCTTTGTGGCAGTGAGACAGAGAACTAGTAAATAAGTACCCTTTTTTGCTCCTTCATTAGTAAAGCTGACTGAGGCTATTAATCCTTAAAGAGCTTTCTAGCTCTAGGGTGTGTTAAGTTTTTATTATCTTTTTGCAGTGTGTTCTGCACAACTGTGTTGTTAATGAAGGAGCCCTTGTGGGGCAGTGGGTTACATGTGGGTTATTAACCTCAAAGTCAGCAGTTCAAACCCACCGACAGCTGCAACAAGAAAGATGAGGCTGTCAGCTCACATAAAGGTTTATTGTCTTAGGAACCTGAAGGAGCGGTTGGTTCTATGCTGTCCTATAGGGTCCACACTGAGTCAGAATCAATTCGATGGCAGTAAGTTATTGGGTGTTTTAATTTCTTTAGCTAAATGTTTTTAACTACAATTATCCTCTAATATTGAGCTTTTTAGAGTGACATACGAAAAGGTATGACCAATGGAAGTAGTTTTTCATGGAAATAATCTGAAGAGGAGTCAGAGAGATGGGTTCATATGTTCAACCCCATGACCTTGGAGTCATTTCTCCTTTGTCCGTCCCTCCTTTCACTGTGTGTCAAATGGAGCTAGTGCCTCCTGTGGATAGCAGGGATTAAAAGGAAGGCCTTTTTGAAAGCCTGCAATTTTGAAAACAGGAGAATCAGCACTTTCTATTTGATTTGATGATAGTAGAAATGCATTGTTGTTGCCTTCTAGAAGTATTCCATCGGTGTAGAAATGTTGAAGATCTTTCTTTTCAAATTGCAGGCAGCAGAAAATAGCAGACCGAGAGAAGAGATCAGCGGAACAGCAGAGGAAAAAGCTGGAAAAGGAAGCCCAGCGGCTGATGAAGAAAGAGCAGAACAAAATCGGGGTGAAGCTCTCGTAACGAAGCTTCTTGGTTCTCCAGGTATGACAGTGCCAGTCGGAGGGACTGCCGGGCCCACCCACGCAACGTGTGGAGATGTGAGCGTGTGTCCGAATACACCCACTACGTGAGGGAATGCCTTCGCAGAGCATCCAGACTCCACGATTCTCCCGCGGTACCATGATCTCTTAGCTATTGAGACACACACACGTGACAATATTTTCTTCAACATGCTTCAAATATCAGACAATTGATCGCTGTAGAGAAATTAACTACAAATGGAATATACCAGTACCTCTTCAGGCTAGTATTTCTAGCTAACTACATGGATGTAAATAATTTTATGGTGGACAAAGACTGCTGTTTACTATGCTTTCTTTCATTGTGCATAATGATAAAATAAATCATTTTAAATACGCTCCTATTTCCATGAGTACCTGATCTAACTCAGACAGACTCTAGGGCTTTCAACTTCCTGGTTTTTGTTATCAGAAGCTAGCATCTGAATTCATTTTCTCTAATTTAAAATGGTGATATATGTTTGATACATTAAAGAGTTTGATGATTTGGATTTTTGTTCCAGAAAATAACATTAAATGCAATTATTTTATTTATGATAAAGCTTTTTCTACGTTTTTGTGTTCTTTAAGATCATGTTGCAATGTTATTATACATATTTGTAATTTATACTGCATGTAAAAACACACCACAAATTAGCTAAAATGGTCACCTGTGTAACATTATTACAGCTTGTGAGTTTTTAAAGCTGGTCTCTGTTTGTTGCAGGTTCTATGATATGACTTATTTATGTGTCGTCATTCTTTCCTCTCCTTAAAGCCATGAATTCACAAATGAAGGCCTTTGGTTCTAGTGCTTCAGCCCCCTAGATGAGCGGTGCTCAGCCTTCTGGATGCCGCGACCCTTTCCTGCAGCTCCTCATGGTGGGTGACCCCCCCCAGCCATCACATTATTTTTGTTGCTGCTTCATAACTGTAATGTTGCTACTGTTATGAATCGGGTGACCCCTGTGAAAGGGTCGTTCGACCCCCAAAGGGGTCACGACTCAGGTTGAGAACTGCTACCTTAGATGGTCTCTGTATCAGTTTTATTTATCTTACATCAAGTCACCTGTATTGTTAGCTAGGATGATAATATTGATTCATTAAATTATGAACCAAGATAAGAATAATATTTTTATTGTTGAGTATTGACTGCCTCAAAAATAGACCCTCAAAGAAATAGATACTGTGTCCATGGGGGGAAATTTTTAAAATTTCACAGGCCTCCTCTCCAGGATTAAAATATATCCAGCTTGACTTGCATGGGTTTAGAATTTTTAAAGATTTTTTACGTTATTACTACAAACTAAGATTTTTGTAGGTTGGTAAAATACTGCATCAAGGAGTCCTGCTGGCCATGTAGATTAGGCATTGGACTATAACATTAAGTTTGGTGGTTCAAACCCACCGGCCACAGCACAGGAAAATTGCAACTGTCTGCTCCTGTCAAGACAGTCTCAGAAACCCATAGGGAGGCGGGGCTATGAGTCAGATTTGGCTTAATGGCTTTAGGTTTGAAGATTTTAATTTTTCTTTATTTTTCACTATAGGCTAAGCATTGCTAATATATTTGAATTCAAGTGATATTTGATCATAAAATCACAAATTGTACAATGGGAGCTCCCTAAGTCACCCTACGCTTACCAATTCTAAATTATTATAGGAGCCATTGAAATTTAATAGGTACGTACGTGTTACAGCTCAAAGCCACATTTTCCATTTCCATGTTTATTAGTTTCTACTAATAAAATAGAATTTAACTCAATCTTAAAAATAATATTATTCTCTTTACTCATTTGTATTTCTTTATTGTGGTAATCAGTACATGATTTATTTAAGTGTGGAGTTTACCAAGGATAACTCTCCGAAGTAAAGTGTATTTTACTCCCTCCCCCTGTACTTAAAAACTTTTGAAGTCTGCTTTGTGCATGATTTTCATCTATGTAAGGTTTTAAACCTCATGTAGATATTTGTATGACTGATTCAAAAGCAGTATTTTTTTTCCCATATAGACAGCAACTCTGAATTTTTTTTTGCCCTCCATTGGAATTTAGACAAAATTCCTACATTAAGTTTGGGTATATTTTGGTCCCAAAAGAAGCCACTAAGTTAAATGCATATCGTCAAACTTCCACGGAAGCAAACTTAGGCTCCTTTAGCTCTTCAATTTCTCTTTTCGTCTTCATTTTAATAAACAGCTGCCAGTTTCAGAAGCTCCTCAGAATCTTGACCAGCAGTAAAGAAGAAATACAAGGAGGCACAGAAAGAAATGAGGAAGTCCTCCTTATTTATCTGAATTGTGCATTCCGTATATTGTAAGAGTAACAGATGAAGACATGGGAAGCTAAATGTATAAATTTTGTGGTTTTCAGCCATTCCCTCTTTTATGAAGTTTTAGCTGGAGGTAATCCCCTTGCTGACACTTGACTCTTTATTTGGTAGCATACGTGACTGAGTTCATGTCTTAGGATTGATGGTTGAAAATTCAATGTCCGAAGTCCTCAGTTTTGGGATGCACTTGGCCTCTGGCCAGAGCAGTAATTACTCTTGGGTGGAGAAAAACTGATGATTGGGGAAGGTGGTAGCTATAGAAGCTAGCAACTGGATTAAACTTACTTATTTATTTTTACAAGTCATCACAATCCATACATCAATTGAATCATGCATGTTTGTATATGTTTCCTTCATTCTTTTCTAGACATTTACTTTCTATTGAGCCCTTGGTATCAGCTCTTTTTTTTAACCCCTCTCTTCCCCCCACCCCCCAACCTTCATGGCCCCCTGATAGACTGTACATTGTTATTATTTTCATCTCACACAGACCGCTGTCTCCCTTCCCCCATGTTTTCTGTTGTTCTTCCCCCTGTGGAGGGGTGTATGGTTATGTGGCAATCATTGCGATCAATTCCCCCTTTCTCCCTCTCCTCCTCTTCCCCCTACCCTTCTGGTATCGCTATTCCCACTCCTGTTCCTAGATTCTGTGTGTCGTGAGCTCCCATCCCTTTCTATATTTGTTCCGGTCTAGTCTGAATTGAGAAGCTGCACTGGGGTCGTGGTAGTCAGGGGTGAGGAAGCCTCAAGGAACCAGAGGCATATAGTGTGTTTCATCGATGCTTTACTGCACCCTGGTGACTCATCCCTTCCCTTTGGCCCCTCTGTGGGGAGATTGTTCCACTGCCTGCAGATGGGCTCTGGATCTCTGCTCCAGCCCCCCTTGTTCTCAACAGTATGGTTTTGTTTGTTGTGTGTCTGCTGATGCCTATGACCTAGTCTCTGATTCCTCATGATCGCACAGGCGGTGCACTTCTTCTATGTGGACTTGTTGCTTCACTGCTGAATGGCAGCTTGTGTAACTTCAAGCCTTTAAGACCCCAGACACTATATCTTTTAATAGCTGGGCACCATCCACCTTCTTCTTCACATCTGCTTATGCACCCGTTTTGTCTTCAGCGATTGTGTCGCAAGAGTGAACATCTCAGATTAAGGTTACTCTATAAACCAACACTGTAAATGTAACCATGGCCAGTGCTCTGAAAAGCCTGAACTTTGTCACTAATGGCATATTGACTGAAGGGACAATGTAATGTAGACCAGCATTAACTACCTTAACCCATGCCATTTTATCCTATGCAGTTTGAATCCAAGGTCACTTACGGTAATGATTTCCGCTCTTTAGCCACTTATGTATAAGCAAGTACCAACAGTTACAAGCTGAGTGCTCTGGCTGAAGCCCAGCTAGGGCTGAGCCAGAGCAGGGCCTTCTACTTGCCAATGAATTAGAGGACTGAAGAAGACGGGTCCAGGAAGAACATATTTTAGTAGTTAATGTGATAAGCATGTTTTATGCCATTTTATTTGGCATTTGGAGTATCAATGAGCTATTTTCTTAAAATGTCTGTAATTTCCTTTCCTCTTTAACGTAACAAGGCCATTCCAAGACAACCGTAACAGTGCTTTCATATTCAACTTTTCTTTTTGCTAAACGTCTCTTATTTCCAGTGCTTCTTAGGCATGATCACTGGGCCTGCCTAGTTAGTAGAGTAAACGTTGAAAGCTAGTTTAAGATGCTACATACCCCGGAGTGCAAACTTCACAGGTTGGAAAGAGACTATTCTAGGAACGTACCCCCCAGCACCGCACAAGAGATTTCCTATTCCGAGCCTTTGCAGGGCAACTTGCACTGGATGTCTGTAGCTAGCCTTCCCTTGTCCCCAACTCCATGACTATTTCTGTGCATGCTTTCCTATTTGTTGACCTCCCACTAACGCCCAAGCACTCAGGTGCTGCGGAGATGGCACCAAACCAACCAATCAGACTCACCACCATTGAGCCATTTCTGACTGAGAGGTTGCAAATCAGGCTGCTAACTGCAAGGTCAGCAGTTCCAAACTAGCAGCTCAACAAAAGTTCTCTCCTACATCTGAGAGATGTCATAGCACTGCAGAAGCAAACGGCCCGGGTTGGCAGGTCTTTCAAATGGGGAGGCTGTAACGCCCCATTTGAGATTAACCGCGGTTGTGTCTGGATACTGCCTGGCACATGGGCAAGCACTAGGATGTGATTTTTCCCAGACCTGGTTTGCACAGGTGTGGACACCCCTTTCCCTGCAGAGTAGATGAGGTGACTGATCTTGAATTATTGATTTTCTATGCTTTGAAGTTGAACTGCAAATTTAGAAAGAGAGACCAGACCCAACCCACTGCTTGGCCAGTTGATTACAATGCACAGCGACTGTCCAGGTCAGAGCAGAAGCGTGTGGTTGGGTTGTGGCTTCTAAGACTGTCAATCTTTATGGACGCAGACAGCTTCTTTCTCCCTCTGAGTGGCTGGGGGGATTGAGCTGCTGACCCTTTGCTTAGCAGCTGAACTCTTTCACCCTGAAACCGCCAGGGCTCCTTTATGGACTGAACATTCATGATGTGTTCAACTAATTTTACTGACTCCTCACCACCCAGTGAAGTAGCCATTATCCCCATTTCACACACCGGGAAAGCAAGCCTTCCAAAAAGACAGTTGTGTGCTTAATGGATGGGAAGGCAAATGGCCAGCTTTGAAAGCAGGTGAGAGGTGGCTCCACGTGGACTCGGGTTTCTAAGGCTTCCCGATGAAACAGCTGCCAGAAAGGCTTCCGAAGGCCCTCTCCAGTTCTTCGAGTGTGGTGCCAGTGAGGAGGGCGCTGCCACGTAGAACAGGCAGAACAGCCGTTGGTGTTTCCTAAGAATTGATCAGGACGAGGAAAGTAACTTGGTATTTTATTTCCATATAAATTATGAATATAGCCTAACTTCAATGCCCATATAATGTTATAGCCTGAGTTTACTTGCATCAGGAAAAATCAAGGCCAAATGAGGCGTGATTTATATTCACACATTTCAAAGACAGGCCAATTAGCACACTTGACTGATTCATTTCTAATGGGGTTAGGATCACAGGCGTCATACATAGTGCAGACCAGTAACATACCCAGAGAGAGACCTTCTCTGCCATGCTCCTGACGCTGCTCCCTGATCTTACTGACGTGTGTCTAGGATCGAGATGAAGGTTAAATGGCACAGGAAAAAACCACCCCCATGTATAAAAGTTCAGCGTATGTACTCTGCTTCAGTGACATCGTGAGAGTTTCTTATGGTCTTTGTTAGTATCGGCCCATTGTCATTTTAACTACCATGTATAATCAATATCATGTCATAAGATATCAAACCTTAATTTGATTTCTTCACTTACACAGCACTGTGTTTTCCAAATCTGTGGTCCTCAGTCTCAGGGAGAGTTGTGCTCACCCACAACGTGGAGGAGAGCTGCACCATCCATAGTCATCCTGGCTCGGAAATACATTCTGACATCTCTGGCTCAGGATTGTATTGCGGGGTTAAGTCGAGCGAGATGTGCATAAGGATCTATATAGTGTCGCTTTTAAGTTAAAATACACAAAAATTGCAAGTGTGCTTTATTCTTGGCATCGGAACCTCTAGTGACCGGATCTGTCTTGATGAGAAAGAGCCCTTGAGAAGTGAGTGGCAGTATGCAGATGCTCATTTGGAAGGCCTTCCCTCCCCTATTTACCGCTTTGGGGAGATGTGAAAATTAAGGTGGTTTTCCTCGTTCATTTTCTCTAGACAACCAACAAGCC